CAATTCCCACCATAAAATAACACCTTACCCATAGCCTGCGTACAATCCTGTTGGTCTATTATTTCGATTTAGTGGGAAATTCGGAGATTTTATGGGTTGTTTTTTTTTGTCAAAACTGGCAGTTGTATGTTTCAGGATGTGCTCACCTGAAACATTGCCACTAACGATGGAACCAGAGTCGGGATTCTATCGTGATCCGGTGATCGTGCTCGATTTTCAGTCGCTCTATCCGTCCATTATTATTGCTTATAATTATTGCTTTACAACATGCCTGGGAAAGGTGCTGAACATTGAAAACATTGCAGCCGTTGGGAAAGCCATTGAACTTGGAGGGCTCAGTTATTGTTGTCCGGTTTGTTTTTATTTAAATACATTGCAATAATTCGAAATCCTGAAATCGTTATATAATAATTAACTGCCAGTGAAAGGCCAAAAAAGTGTAGTGGACGAAGAAATTGGTCTAAATGTATAACGTGGGGAAGTAAGTCGAGCCGTAAATGAAAAACCGTAAACCAACAAGAGTCTGGGGATATAGATGGGCCGAAACTTTGAATTAGAAAAATTGTCGCAAAGTATCGCGAGTGACCTTCGCAAACCTTCCAGGCAGTTGTTTCTCTGTTAGAAGGGTCACACCTCCTTCCGTGGTATGTACGACAACAGCACCGACGAAGAAGAGGATGACGTGGAGCGCACGGAGGGAGGTCACGAGGAATTAGAGATGGAGAAATAGCTGGTTTGAGAACAAAAATGTATGAGAAGAGGTGCGTGCTGATGTGGGCTGGAGTGGAGAGAGCCCCGAAGAATTTGGTCTGTGGTGGTTTGGTTGGAAGAAGAATTTTTTGGTGATTTAAGTACCGCACGCGCCCGGAAAGAAGAATCATTTCGAGGCATTTTCTTTCGTAATTTTATTTGTGTGTTTCTGATTCGCTTGAAGAAAATTGTTTTTTTTTTTTTTTGCCGTGTTGCTGTGAAGAAAATTTGATTATTACTGTATTGAAAGGGGCAGCACTGATTGGTAATTCAAGAACTATCTTTTTTTCTGTCCGAGATCAGGAATTTTACAAAAAAAAAATAACTAGTATGATTTTTGTACTGAAAGGAGTAGAGAAATAGTAGGATTGAAAATGTAGTACTTTCAGGTCGATGATGTCGTAACGATGCTAACAAAAAACGAACTGCACGTATCACCAACCGGAGCTGTATTCTGCCGAAAGTCCTGCCGAAGAGGTTATTCTTGATAGAATTTTTAGTGAAGAATTTACTACAGCTGTTTTTTGACTTCTGATGAATGCATATCTTTATAGGTCTGATGCCTGTAATGTTGGAAGAAATTTTGAACACAAGAATAATGGTGAAAAAAGCTGTGAAAGATTACAAGCAGCAGCGGGTTCGATTTTTTTTAGTTGTGCGAGTGCTGTTATCCTAGTTAGATTTCGCATTTTATATTTTTTTTACAAAAGAAAGGGTCTTTTTATATTTTTTGCCAAGTTCTGAAAACGAGTGTCATCTTGCTTCACGCGTCGAAATTTTCCTGAAGTAAAAAAAAAGCATACCTTACCTTGAATACCTTGAACAGCTGTTGTTTCATCGATCTCTGATGTTACGCCATCGAT